GCTCTTTCAAATTTCGCTAGTTCACGACACGGTAACGAGTCTTGTGAACGGTTCTTAGCACATTCTGGTCATCATATAATGATCAAGTCCGATCATCTCTCGCGAATTTCGCTAGGAGCGCGTCTTGTCAACAACGCTTTATCGAAGGCGGCCCGGGACTATGGATTGAATGTATAGACGAAAGCGGGATCAGCTAATGTAGGTCAGGTAATCGAATGTTGAGGTAATCGCAAGTGAAGCTAACCGAATGTTGAGGTAATCACAAGTCAAGCGAACCGAATGTCAGAACATTTGGACGTGAAAATAACCGAATCTTATGACAATTGAATGTCAAGATAATGTCAAAATAACGACACAATTGTAATAGTATGAAACAATGACAAAATAATATTGTAACAATTACACAATAATGAAATAATTAAGAAATAAAGTTGGAATAATGGCAATACGATGCTGCAGTAATAACACATAATGGAATAATCACAAAATAATGTTTAAATAAAGACCAAATAATGACCAAATAATAACCAAACAAGTTTCCAAATAAAGAGCAAACAACTAAACAATGTTCAAATAATGACACCAAGCCATTTTTGGCGGTATTCTCACCCCATACTTTCATTGTGTAGTACAATTCATTTTTCCACCAAAAGTATTTTTTTTCTGCCAAAATTGTGCTTGTGATTTATTGCTGTACTATTTGCTGTAACTTGTACAATTCATGTCATTCTATAAGGCACTGTGAGATCAATATAGTAGATGTATTATTAAAGGTAAAATATGTTATAATACAAGTATTAAGACTTATCCCACCATGTCCTTAATGATGTCCTTGGTGACAAATAGTCATTTATTCATTATTTAATATCAAGATTTTTATATGACCTGTTTTGTGTTTGTATTTATAAAGGTGTGTCCCCCACTAGTATACCCAGTGAAACCACAGCAAAGAATGACAACTCTGCTGGTGCTAGTTCTGGTATCACTGCAGACTGGTGGACGATTCCTAAGTAAGTATCTTTCTACTCTATATATTTTATGCCTTGCATACGACTATATCGTGTTTATATATTCTGGGTAGGGGAGGGTAGTTCAGTTCAGCAATGTACATTGAAGGAAATTTTTAAAACATCAACTGTGACTCAATTTTTCCTATATATTTTGGCTATTTGTAAAGGATAGATAATGTGTTAGTTTCAAAGTATATGACGCTTACAGCAACCACTTTGGTTTGTACGTACATTTCACTTTTATAAGATCGGTAAAAAAACGCTATAAATGTAATTCTAAACGACAAGGTTGTAAAAATGTATGGAAATCTGAGGAACAAAATAGTACATGGCGACCTTTGTACACAATGCAGAGGATACACCTTTATAGTGTGTACAAGCCTCCCTTAGGGGTTCAATGTCATGATGCATTAGTCTCTTGTTATTTCTTTTCACTTCACTTCATTTGAATCTATTTAGTCTCAAATTTGGATGACAAAAGTGGAAATGGATCCTCAGATTTCAGTGTTATATATTGAAATGTATTCAATGCAGGAAACATAGTAGGGGTTATGGATGAACCGATTGTATCGTAATATTCAAATAGCCAAAAGCCGGTATCTAGTTTTGATTCTTAATTGGTTTGGCCTAAAGCTGATATGTTCAAGTCACTTTCATGATACAATAGAATTCTGAATGTGAAATGCATTTTGATTTCAACTATTACCAGATTCTGCCTATCCAAAAAATCATTCTCAGCAATTTCACAGCTGGTGGGCCCTTATTTGGGGTTAAAAATTTAAAAAACTGATCATTAAATATTTTTGGGGGACTTTTATTTTCATTGAAAAATCCGCCTACGCCGACTTTCAACGCCGGCAGTTGGACCATCCAAAACGAAAGATACTATTGCAGAAGCTAAAATTTCATTACAGTGTCACCCTGCGCATCTTTCTAAAAAAAAAATCACATTATAAATCTCGTACGCCAAATACATATATATTTTTTTTTCACAACTGCATTAGCAAATGATGGCGGAAGCGCAATCCGGTCATGTGGCGTTTCACAATTGTTGATTATTACCAAGTAATGATTATAATAACGTGCAAACAATAAATTTGATGAATTGTTATAAAATGCAAATAAATTTCAACTTATTTCATCGTAAGCAAATGATTCCGGTCGCATTTTAAATGCTCGATGCTGTAGAAATGAATATCCACCATGTTTTGACCTAGACGTTGTTCTTTGACCTGACAAGTCAAATTGCTAATTAACTAATCAAAACGATGGATGATGTCAACATGTTCATATGTTAATGTTATTGAGCGCAGCACCGAAGAGATTTGCCGATGTTGTTGTACGATCTTTTGGCTTGGATTTTTATGGGAAAGTGACATGATTTGTTCTTAAATAAAAAAATTAATTGTTTTCAAAATTAAATTGAGCATTTGAAGAATAATTTAATATTGTTTACAGTGATAACTGCTCATTGTCGAAACAAAGCTTATACTCATTCACGCTAGTCACAATAAACATCATACTCTTGAAATGGTGTCAATGACTACGGTGAAACTTTTATGCATCAGAAAAGATTAAAATAACACTTTAAAAACTGACGAAAAATCAGGTGATTTCTTGGTCCCAATTTATTTTTTTAAAAACCCAAACTGTCGTTTAACGACCCAGGGCAAATTTACGGCAGAATCCAGTATTATAATGGCTCTCATTTTAAAAAAAATACCTAATTTTAACAATATATTGGTATAAATCATTATATGTTGTCATAGTAATAGCAACTAGAGTGTCTAAACCAAACCAAAATAGTCAAATATTTCAATAAGTCAATTTCAATGAGTATTTTTTGGAAATGCTGGCCCAGAAATTCATAATTTTTGTTCTTTGTGAATTTGATGATAATCTCATTCAAACCTTTTCAAGTGCTCACTGAATTCTGTGATATCATTGGTTAGAAATTTATTGGATCAATGTGCGTGTGAAAATGAGTCTGCCATACTTAGATATCAAAGTCACAAACAATGATCTAAATGTTTTATAAAAAGAAGCAAAGTCTGTCAATACTTGCACATCATATTGAGAAAAAATCAATTTAAAAAGTATGTTTTATGAAATTGCTCATGATCTCTTAGGTTTCCATGGCTACTGTACTTGAAATTCTCAAGTATAGTTGAATTAAAAACCTTTATATAGTATCTTGTTACATGAGCATTACATTTCATGAGGCTTTTTTGAGGATGATACCTTATGATTTGCTTGCAGGAAAGATATGCCTGTCTTCATTGGAGCAATGGTAGCTATAGCGCTGAGTTGTTTAGGAGTTCTTCTTTTTGGATGTTGGTATTGCCGTCATAAGAAGAAGAAATCTAAAACACGACAGGCTTACTGTAAGTAAAATAATTTGTATAGAACAACAAGATTCTGGAATGAAACTTTCATTGTCAGGTTTCCAGGAATACCTGGTAGTGATAAATTCGTATAATAAATTTAATATTTTTCTAAAATGTGTAATCCGAGTTTGATAGGATAAGCTTTGATTTATACATTTTCTTTTGCCAATGTGTAAATGCCAAAATTACAGGTAAACAAAACATTTTCAAGGAAGGATTGCATGAATTTGGAACTAGCATTCAAATTTCATTCAAAGGTAGATGAAGGTATGCACCTACTGCAGGATTATTTTTCAGCCATCCCCACTTGTGTGTTCTTGTATTCAATCCCGTAGATGTGAATTCCATACATGCACAGAGTACATGCATACAGTGGAATTTCAATTGAATCTACTTTGCATCCATGCTTATGAAAGTTGCATCCTTATCACTTGCATTTATTATCTGCCTTTGCTTGAAAGCATGGTTCAGTCAATGCTTTGATCTGAGATCTCTTCCATAGAACCTGACTATCCAAGAATTGGTTGTAAAAGTCCCGATAAAAACAAATGTTAATATCTACAGTATGGGGAGATTGGAAAAAAAAAGAAATATTAGTGTCCATATGGTAGTGTTTGACTCGTTTGTCAACCAATGTAAATAGCTCTCTCAAACACCACAATGAAGTTTATGTACTGTAAAATACTTTATTTTCGCATGGACTTCATTTTTGCTAAAGGAATGATTCAGTGAAAATAAAATCCAGTAAATATATACCTTTTTTCCTATATTTCACATTCAAAATTCAGTGAAAATAAATTCCATACAAAACACCTAAAAGTCTTTTCAGCAAAAATTAATTCTAGCTAAAATAATTTTTTTCACAGTATGTTAATACATCATTTTCTGAAAGCCTCTATGGAAAGCCAAAGTAAATAGGAAAAAACAGCAATAGCAGGCGATTTGTTTAAACATATACCTGTCTGATACAAACTGCACAGAATGTCACTGTCAATATCATTAATGAGTAATTAGTCTGACATTAGTTGTAAAAAAGTGTTTTTTCCAAATCAGAAATGATTTGCTATTGACAAATGGTGGAAGGTTAGTCCCCTGGCTTACATTTTTTCTGTCTCTTTTCTGATGTCATTTCCTTTGCCTAGAGGCTCACGGGATAATAATAATTGTAGAATTTATCAATCTTAATAATAAGAAAGTCAGAAACAGAAAGGCTGGTAATTTGCATCAAATTGATACTTGCATTATTTAGAGACATATGTGTGCATTAATATTAGACATTAACAAACCATGACAACTTTAATCGTGAAGTAGCATATTTCCTACCTTCACAAACAATAGTACAAAGTAATAAGCAATCATTAAAGAGTATCAATGTGTTATTAAAGCAGCACATTCTATGTATACATTGTATATAAAAGACATTATTATACATCTGTCGCCGTAACGTCATAAGATACAGCGTGCCATAATTTTGCGTTATTTTACGCGGTATTTTCATCTCACCATATAAGGAAATGCATATTCCAAATATGGAATGATTATGCGCATAAGCGTCCTCTAATATTAAAAACAAACATGGCTGCCACCAGGGTTTGACCGGACTCCATACAAAGAAGTTTGCTGATTCTGTTCTAAACTTTTTGGATTTTGGCATTCCCATGATGCATCCTTGGATGGAAAAGATGTATAATAATAAGATTATTACGAAAATACCTCGACATATGCACTCAGACAGTATGCCGTCGCATCGATACTCCAGCTGTACTGTCTTCGTGCATACTTTGAAGTATTCTCGTATTATTATATTATCTAGCACTAAAAACGGTACAATTTATCGTTCCATAAAAAGTTGCACTCGTCCCAAAATGTATCACACTCATTTGAGCACTGTATGGGTTAAATTACATCATCAACATTGATGTGTTAATGATATTGACGTACTATTCAAACACATTGCTTTGTTTATTTAGATGCAGAAGCACTGTAGCATGCTGCGGTTAAAATCCCTTCACTGAAAACGAACCTTCGCACATCCCAGAAAGTTGTTCAATGGCATTTTGGGTTATAATCTCTCTTCAAATTATAGTCAAAGTATG